CTTCCTATAGGAACTTATCTAGTGAACTTGTCGATAGGTGAGGCATAGACCAATGTGGTTGAGTATACCTTCACTCTGGTGACAATATGAAAATTCTGAGGAAATTTTGGAAAACTTTCGTTGGTTTCTGTATATTTCTACTCGTAATCCGTGTGTGAAGTTCTATAGTGCGCCAGGAAATTCCAACACGTATAATCCGACACTGCTGCTGCGACAGTGTATTGGCCAATTGAGAGCCCCCTTCTAAATGCCTTTGTGGTGGTAGGTGTCGCTGTGGTGGTGGTAGCAGCAGCAGTCGAAGGAGGCTGGATGAGGCGGGCCTCCTGTGCTTGAACTGTGATGGCTATGTCGACTCACGGCACCCTCCCAAGGCTTACATTGAGGTGGATCTCAACCGAACCATTGAAGGACCTAGGATGCTACTAGATAAGCTCACACAGTAAGTGGTATGATATTAACCGAGGAAACCACTGCACGTTGTTGGTGATATTCAGTACTTCGGCCTCCTCCCCATATCGGCACAGCTACAGCACGATAGCTGCCTCGACCAAGACGACGACGACTGCCCTTATTGTGTGTTTTGATATCGATAAGATAGGAAGGCTCCGACGAGGCGTGAGAGAGCTGGATCTGCGAGTGTCGGGTATTTTCGATGCGGATGTAGTGGAATAGCACTGTTGAATATGACTCAGCATAGCTCTGCCCTTTAGGGTCGACCCATGGCCTCTTCGCGGTGGATGAGCTCGAGTAGTGGAGGTGATGATGAGAGTAGTGAAGAGTCTGAGGGCCCACGGCATCGAAGGGGCAGAGGACTGCAAGCATCCCAGAAGGCGGCTGAAGAGGACATGTCTCCACTACCACCTACTACTGACCACCCCCCGCCCCCAAGGATCATCCCACCTAGTACCGCTACTGCTGCGGAGATGGCCCCTCCTCCCCAGGCCCCACCGCATCCTCCTCCTCCACCTCCCCCTCAAGCAATGTGGCAGCAGATGCCGGCAGGACCACCCACCTTGATGGCCCCTTGGGGCATGCCTCAGCCTGCACCTGTTGGGTATGGTGGTGCTAGCGGTGGTGGTTGGCCGACGTCTACGACAACGACGACGACAGCGCCAACAGCAGCAGTGGACCCTCAATGGTTACAACACTACCAGGCCATGTATCAGGCCAGTGGGGCCCACTTCGATCCACATGCACTGCAGCAGCAACAACAACAACAACAAATAGCTATGCAAATGATGATGATGTCCACGGCAAATGCACAGCGCCAACAACAACCATCGGTAGCCTATAGTGCTGGCATATACCCCTACCCCCAGCAGGCCCCATCGAAGGGTGGCGGACCTGGCCCTATGGGGCAGTCTATGGGGGGGCGATGATGCTCGAAGCAATAGGAGGAGACGACTAGACTCATTATACTCGTTTATAATTGCTACATTTCTGTGTACTGATCGTGTGGAGTTGTATCATGCTGGTGATTGTTGTTGTTGTTGTTTTCTTGTATGATTCGTGGAAATGCATCTTGTTATGTCTGTGCACTAGAAGGTGTTATCGAGTCCTACTTGAACGAGACCCAAGGTGAGTCCGTAGACTGCAGTTGTGTCCACCCCTACTCACTCCAGCAGGCTCGGAGGAGTCTCCGGCAGGGCAGACGGTTGGCCCTCAGTGCACAATGCGGTCCAAGACAAGCACCTCCTGCGACCGGTGTTGTGCGAGGAACACGCCTCAGTGAGTTGCCATTGTGTTGGAGTAATTCGGTCAGTGTGAGAGGTCTGAATCTCATTTGACATTTTCGCATTTTTAACCTGTCATTCGGCTGGCCGCTCTCCACGACTATGCCAGTCTATAAGTACTCCCATTGGGATTAAATCTCTGAAAGAGTCCATAGTCGGATCTTCCTCCCCTCTGATGTGACGCTATGGAATAAGTATTAGTGTAGTGCAAAACACAGCATAGTGATAGTTGATCGTCGTGCCCTTCTCTGCAATGCTTTTCCACGCTTCAGGTTGTTTTGTCATAGACTTAACCGTGTCGGGGTGAAACACTTCCCACACGGTGTCTCGTGTCACATTTGTGGGGAAGCTGTTGAGTCGTACGAAGGGGCTGATGGCGAAGGCCGAGGTGGAGGAACTGTGTGTCTTAAATGTCATCAAGTGAGCCGGACCTGGGGATCGAACCTGCGACCATTATATTCTTCCAGACAGCGGTATGCGACAAGGTCGAGTGTCAAGCGAAAGCTGGTTATGTACCGCAATTACTCTACGAGAGGCCCTCAGCCAAGCCCTTCCTGTGCCTCCACTGCCTTGACCTCACTTTCATGTGCTCCTGCAAAGAGGCCCATACCGTTCAAAGACGACTCATGTAGTTTCTTCGCTCCGCTAGACGAGTGGGATCATTTTCCCTCCTGTTTAGACTGGAACGCCCCTTGAACCTTGATGCCCCCTTCTATTTCATGATGAACACCCACGCTCTGGCCCTCGAACCATGCGAGCACTTTTATGTCAACTCACTGCAGAGTCCGAGACCTCAATTGGTGAACAGCCCCTCCTCGCCGTGTCTACTATCAATTCTGCTTCCATACAGGTGGCTCTGGCCGGAGACTCTACGGGAGCACCCCAGAGGGTCGTAACTGCCCTACGGCTGCTGGACGTTATTGCACATCGTAGCACTGTGAGGCGATGGACCATCAAGGAACATCAGAGCCTGAGGTAGCCGGGCCCTGTAGGATCCCATCTGACGGCATTGGCTGCTCTTCAGGCGAGTCTTGGCCAAACTGCAGGAGCCGGTACACCAGCGTGAGAAGTTGAAAGTGAGTTTTATCGCGTCACCACTCTGATATTGAAATCTATCCCTCAGGGGATGCCTCCGGAGGCCGAATCGGAAGCACTGTGGCTGCTAGAGGGGAGCGAGATGTGGGGCCTACCAGTACCGATGTGGACTGCACTGTAAGTTCAAGAGGTATACCTTTAGAACAGTAGTGACTTCAGAATGTACCTTTATGAGTGTTCGGTCCATGAGGAGTACTTATTATTCCAAGCTGGGAAGAAGGTCCATACGAGGGTATGTCGAGCGCTCCACAAAGAGCTTGTCAATAAGTGGTCAGTGAAGAAACTGATGGAGAAGGTGCGAGCGATGATGCCCGCCTGCCCAAGCTTAGGGTTCATTCCGCCCTAGCGATGGTTATCATAGACTGGAAACCATACCCACGTTCGATCCCTGCATGTTGCATTTTTTCAAGCTTGTAGATTTGGCCATCGTTAGAAGGAGTTGTATTCTTCCGCCCCAGTCAAACCCATAGAGTAAAGCGGAGTGGAGATGAGCACATATTCAAAGCTGGATCGATACGACGTCAGATGGATGTAGGCCCCTAAGGGTCCTCCGTCCCCACCACTTGTCCCCTCAGCGATTCTCTCAAGGCCTGGTCAAGCGCTTGGTGGAACGAGCGGCTCGTAACGTGTGGGAGTATCGGCGATGGCATTACATCAGAACAATAACGGAGGAGGGTGAGCGAATCCTTTGATCCTGGCTTTCCCTACTCGTGCCAGTTCGAAACGCCCGAGGCGCAAGAGTCTTCCGATGTGCTGTTTGCGGCCCCTTCCCTGAGTATTCATCTTGGTCGGAAGTGCAAGACCACGTTTTCTACACTGTGCCCGACGCTGCCCATGAGGAACGATGGAATCGTTTCGAGAAGGAAATGATTACTGTGGGAAAACCACCAGATAGCAGTACGGCCCATGCGGCGATGCTTCTTCATGTCATTCCTATTTATTCATTATATTTGTCATTGGCCTCTAAGGTACCATCGCACAGTGGAACTCCAGATTCGACAATACCCGGCCGGGGTGTAAGATCCCTCTCACTAACAAATCACGTCGTTACACATGGGCGGTAACGAGCTGATTATAGTGGATAAATAGGCGTACTCCATCAGACCCCTCCTTATCAAGCGACCCTTCCCAAAGTGACTATGTGGGATCCGCCCTGTGATACAGCTCCCAGACGGCAGAAAGCAATTGAGTATACTGCGAAGGTCAATAAGAATACGCCTTGGCTCGCCCTGTCCTCGACTGTCACACGGTGGGTTAATATGGTTCGTGTGTTAGGCGATCTGTGGTGATTTTAGGGAGAAGGGACGGCAGGACATATGCAATGCGTGGGACCTGAAGAAGGACCGCGAGTCAGAGAATGAAGTTTTCCTCGGCTCCTCTCGGTTTACTTCGCACATCTCACCAGCAGTTACGTAAACATTTCAAGAGATATTTTGTCTTGCGTTTACGGAGTATGGTGACTGGAAGACTCCTGCCATCGGGAGCATCTACTATCACGGATTCTTACGAAACATATGGAGCCGATATTCACGTTCATGCTCCCCGAAAGGCTTGCCGTCATCTACAACTTATCAAGTCCTCGTTCTCTGAAGCACGACTGGGTTTATTCGTTGCATCGATTTGGTCGTGGCTTGATGTTACTGACAGTCACCCGAAGTGCTTTCTATTTTCAAACTCGGGATGTATGATTAATCTAATCGCATCGGTTCCTATGCCGTTGAATCATATTGGACTCCATCAGGTAACGTGACGCTGTCCAAGAAGCTGAGCGGGCGTCACTGGTGACGGGGAGCATTCCAATGAGAAACGTCACTGCTGCTGCTAGGGTTTCTCATTTCATTTTCCTGCATTATGAACAGGGCGCTCCGCTTCTTGCTCTTTGGTATTCCTCTTGTGGCGGCATCTGATCAGATGTCGATCGATATTGGCGATACTACGGCTACAACAGCCTCTCGTGCACTGGAGCCTTTCACTACTACCACTGCGGTCATCGAGGGCAAGTTTTGTGGGAGTGTATGGTTACACTCGTTCGTTGTTACCTTGGAGAAGGAGCGTATGGCTCTCGACATACCATCTTATAAAGTCTCCGGTCAATGCGATTATCACGTGACCGGCCCTCACGTTGAAGTCTCTAACTTTGACGATGTCCTCAGGGACTTGATGAACCGCGCTGGGGTAAGCACTTTTGACATAACCATCGTTGACGCGAGCAGACTCCGTATCAATGCTGGAGGTCTCATGAGTACCACAGTCGAACGCTGTTAATTTCCTTTTTTTATTACGGATTCTCCTTTGCTCGATCAATCGAACCGTTTCAACTACTATACTGTTGTGTATATAGCAAACTTATCCAGTATAAATCAGCTACACGCATGAGCAACGTCAACAAAGCTCGAAATGCACTAGACTCGAGTTCCCGGTGTACATTGAGAGCAATCAACTCAGTGAACAATCAATAATCAGCGAGTTCAACAATACCGGAGACGTGTCAGAGGGAGGAAAAAATCACGCTGCTACACTTCCCCTGTTACGAGCCCCCTCTAAGAGTCGTCCCTCCCCATCACTGCGTAGGAGAACTCCACTTCAATTACAATATTCCGTTCAGTGTTTTCACGTAGTAGATAATGAATATTCGTATTTAACCACCTGGTGAATGATATTGCCCTATACGAACAGATAGACGGATATGAGATTAGCAGATTTTATGTGCAGGATTTGTGCGCCATACCGTATGGTTCATATCGACTACTCACGGTCGTACGGGGTTGTCATCGTAAGAGGCTCGTGTTTCTCCTCAAATTTGATCCTTGTCTTGTTCACAGTTCAGCTATCGCGGCCGCAGAACTATAGTAGGGTTATATATTCCCAATACCGCGATCATTGGGTTTATGTAGTCCAGCAACTCGGACAACAATAAAACTCAACATAGGTAGTCTGATGATGATAACTTTGTATAGTACAACGACCGAAGCTAAACTCATCTGGTCAGCAAGAATTTCCCAAAATCTTCCCCGAATTTCTGAGCCCGATTTCTCATTAAGTCGCCGACCCATGTAAAGTAGTTAACCATGTGCATACTTTCCCATACTGGAACGAAGAGCAACTTGTTACGATGACCAAGCTTTGCACCGGACCGGCCTATCTCGACTACTGAACTCATCTCCACAGCGGTGGAGACTGACTACTAGTCAGTGACTAGCCACAATGAGCTGATGTTATTGACAGGAACTAGACTCAAGACGATTTTGATAGTATTAGGATGATGATGATGAGAAGCAGGAGTATTCCAGTCATCGAGCCTAATGCCACAACGATGCTTGACATATCTCAGAAGAGAGCTATTGATTTCAACAGATAGCCCGAGCTTAGGCCGAAGGAAGCGTCTGAGGCTGTCTATGCTTCCTTATGCTGATGACGATAATAATAAAAACGGTAGTAGTATACAGACCTTGATGAGAGACCATATGGTGATGATAATGATGATGATGAGCTCCTGCTACTCATACTGCTGCTATTCCGCTATTACTCAATTGAGCTCTGAATGACGCAGCAAGTGTACATACATTAGTACATAGATGACGACAACAACAACGACGCTGGAGAGTTATGACAAGTAATACGGTGGAGAAAGGGTTTGCCCGAGGCAGTAGACAGACATGATACATGACAGTCATAAAATATTAGTCGAATACTCAGTTACAATAGGTCTGAGGCAAACGCATTTATCATCAATGCTCATTATGATGATCATCATCATCCTCACCTCAGCTCTCGAAGTTGAACTCCTCATGGTAGTACCTTCCTCATCATCAACGTCGTCGTCAACATCCCTACATAGTCCTATGGCTCCCACTGAGCTCCTTGTGGTCCCAGTAGCAGACGCATTACTCTCCTCTCCAACTGCAGCTGTATTGACCTCATTATGGGCCCCACTGTGGCCAGCCCGTCTAGCTGCTATCCACACTGTCGGTACGGAAATACCATACCTTGCCCAAATCACGTCAACAACAACAGCCTATAACAGCAACGTACTTCTGTCCCCACCAGCTGCCACTAATTAGACCATTCCTAGCGAAGCGAAGCGCGGCTGTTACGCTCGGCCATCTCCACGCCGACTTACCCAAATTCACATGCTCACCTGATGGTCATTTCACAAGCAGTGTCCATATGTATTACCATTCGGCGAGAGAGGATCCAGTATAACCAGCATGTCCATTTTAAAGGCATCAAAGAGCTCCTCTTCATCTGCAGATTCCCTCGAAGTGAAATTGAAAGTATTATCACTAGAACTGAGTGGACGTATTATAAGCTGAGACGCATCAAACGAAGTGAGGGTCAAACCTGAATACCATACCCCATGCGGATCACAATACCAGTATGAGCTCACCATTGGGTAAAACTATTGTATGATGCTCCTTGACAAGGTCTCGATACACACTATCATGATCGTCCTCAGATGTATCATCAGGCCCACCATACCACATCAAGAAGCCCAATAGGAGCTGACCCAGGGGAGCACCAACCCAGCCGTCAGCCGAGTAAAACTGGTTTAGAAATGATACAACCATGAGCACCTATAGAGAGACCTAGGAAGTTCTCCCACCGTGACAGATCGGGACGTAATTTAGTGGCGCAGTGACAATCTCGGTGTTACTACTTACCAGTGTGTAGCTGCTTATGCCACCATTGTAGGGCGATATGAGACCTTCACACAATAGTACGTGTTTCACAAATAAGACTAATGGTCGCAAGCAACCAAAATGCTGGTTCATCATGGCTATGTACGCAGATGTTTCCAGACCTAGATGTAGAAATCGATTTCAACACGAGTCGCGGAATGCAGCCGAACCTGTGTGGTAGGCGCCCGACAGGGATATCTGCACTTGCACCGGTGAATGTAAGGAGCATTGAGCGTTCAATCCCATACTACACGTACCACACCTGGTTGAAATAGCATGATATTAAATGGTAATACCTTATCTCACCATTGTTGATATAATTGATCGAGACTGGGATCTCGACACGTTAGTGTAATTAGGGGTATTCGCGACGATGTTATGACCACAGGAGGAGCGACGATTGTACCTGACACATTACCCTTCCTATAGCAGCGCAGAGTTGATGTTGAACGATTACCTGCAGGGGCGCACTGTGTGAGATATTCCGACACCAACTCCAAAAGTTTCACACACTCTGCTGCTGCTTTAACATGATCATCAATGCTTCCCACAGAGGTACTTTCATCAACAATAACACCACCAGAGCTCTGCGGGCAGTGTACTACTATGCCAACATGAAACATGCCCCAGCAACCGACCTCGCTCTGATATGAATTGGCGTAATGAGACGCTTCCCCGTGTTGATATTCTCCACCGACACTCACCCAGGGGGTCAATAATCGTCTATATCGAGCGGAGCCGGGCAATAACTAAACCGACTCATCCCCGATCGTCAAGAGCGAACTCAGCCCTACAACAAAATCCAGATCGCTCGCCCATGGTAGATGTAAATTGTAGGTAAACCTGTACATTTGGTTAGCGGTCACCTCTGAGAAGATGAAGAACTTACGAACCGAATGGTAGGCATTTCAGCGAATGCCGTGTCTCCCCAGATGCGCTACTATCTGCTTCATCATCACTGGGGAGGGGACGGCCGCTACGGGTGGATGGCGATGGTGGTTCAAATTCGTCAATCATGAGCTGCATCTGGACAGCAGAGGAATTTCGTGGCGCGTGACGGAGATATGCTCACCATGCTGCACAGTCGCATCCGCTTGAAATAGTCACCCGAGTTACTATACGTGTCAACAAGATGCATGAAGAAAGCTAAATCAATTGTTACCTGTGAGGCAAAAGCAAGCGCCACTGCGCCACAAAATTACACGAATTGACGATGGTGCTACATAAATTACTCGACAGAATCGATCATTATTCTTCAATGTCATGTCGAGTGAAATAAACATCACTAAAGAGTCCATATTGCGATACACATGGGCAATCCTCAAATAATATGATGTTGCTTTATCGATAAGACTCGCTACCCTATCCTGAGCGTAACGGCTTTAACCGACTACGACGGGGAAGCTCACTTAGAGGTATTACTGAGGGTATGTCAGAAAGCTCAAAATGCTACTGACTATTGTACCATAGCTGCTGCATAAGGATCCAAAATCACTCACTTACTCTATCGGTCACACTAGGCATAATCGGCGGTAATCTTATGGGCTCTGGTGAGGGAGCGGGGAGTCGCTGTTGACTGTTGTAAAACACAGCCGGGGCGGAGCAGCGACTGGGGTTCGACACCTGAAGAGCAGCACGTCGTTGAGCCAAGGTATAGTTCATTAGACCTGATGGTATTCGTATCGTGGACCATCGTCTTCATCGTCAGTATCAGGAAAATGCCGCCTCTGGGTATCGAACTCGGGTCGTTCATAATTACCACCGCCACCTATGCTGACCGCTGACCCAGAGCGTCGTCTTCGATCAAGTGAGCTGTTGAGATTGTAGACTTTTTGGGAACCCGGTGGGGACAACAATAAGGGTGGATTCCTGCTGGTCCGCTGCTGTTGATAACCCTTAGAAGAGCGGGATGATGTGTTCGGCAGCGTGCGAGAGGGCCTCATAGACAGAGGCATGTAATGAGGGGATACACCCATGTGGTAATTGAGCTCAGCCTGTCTCACAGACCAAGCCAACACTGGCGGTACTGTGCTCCTAGATAGTGTTATTAACGACGATGATGAGAGAGCAATAGTCAATACTACCGTGGGAGGTGCTGTGCTGCTACCCGAGGTACTCGAGAGGACGATCCTTCTTCCGTATTACACTGGGCCCTACTACTCGGAAATATACCATCTGACGACGAGAACCCCATCGAGTGAACGTGATTCGGCGATAACGTTCTACTATTATTCAACGTGGTCAATCAAGTTATTCAGAGAACAACTGCTGCCCTAGCCCAAAGTTCTCTCATCGTGATTCCCAGTGATATTACTGTTATTATCCACATCCGCCCTATGGAGGTCCTCTGCCGGGTCGGCTGGGTGCTCCCATGCAGTAGCAGTACATACTTCATCATTATACCGCTGTTCAGTTGTCTGCTGAGTGCTGCATGGTAACGCCGATGAAGAACCAGGAGACATTGTGGTGGAAGAGCAACAGAGGAGGGGATCTTATGTTCTCATTCTTTGCATTTCATGCACTTAGGCATTTAAGTTCGTCACTCGCCACGAAATTGTAATCATGCTCAAGACTCGTTTTCTCGATTCGAGTGACATCTGTCCGTCCACCGGACAGTTGGTTGGGAGTGTGGGAGAGGACCAAACACTGTGAACCCGAAGCCCGAACCCTCTCTGGGACTTACCTTGGGCCCTAGGTTCACAGATCATGTTTGGTCACACTAACTATATCACGGAATATGGCCCATGTTTCGTGACATATGTTAGTGTCCCCCAACCAACTTGGGACAAGACTTAAAAAAAAAAAAGAAGAAAGGGACGAGACTGGTTCATAGGTAGAACCATCTCGGTCTCATAACATACAGTTCGAACGATAACATCAGAACACCAACATATTTCTCATTTCGTGCACTTGCTTGAACTTGCTTTCTTACGAAACCTTCACTCAAGACTCGTTTTCTCGATTCGAGTGACATCTGTCCGTCCACCGGACAGTTGGTTGGGAGTGTGGGAGAGGACCAAACACTGTGAACCCGAAGCCCGAACCCTCTCTGGGACTTACCTTGGGCCCTAGGTTCACAGATCATGTTTGGTCACACTAACTATATCACGGAATATGGCCCATGTTTCGTGACATATGTTAGTGTCCCCCAAACTCGAACACACAGACAACGATGAGTCACCTACTTGAAACGAGATCCTCACTGTCGGAGGGAGGAGA